CCCTAAACCCTGAACCCCTAAAACCAAACCCCTAAACCCTAAAACCCACCGAAGCAGACAACCTTAGATCCTGGTCCCTGGACTCCGCTGGCCACGTTTGGCCTTAGGCCCCACATTCGTGGACATCGGGGTCCGAAAGCCAAGGGTTTCAGTGTTTAGGGTTTAGGGTTTAGGTTTTAGGGTTTGGGGTTTTAGGGTTTAGGGTTTAGGGTTTCAAGGTTTAGGGTTTTAGGGTTTAGGGTTTAGCGTATTTTAGGGGTTAGGGTTTTAGGGTTGAGGGTTTAGGGTTGAGGGTTTTAGGGTTTAGGGTTTCAGTGTTTAGGGTTTAGGGTTTTAGGGTTTTTGGGCTTAGGGTTTAGGGTTTAGGGTTTTAGGGTTTCAGGGTTGTTGATCCTGGCCCTGAGCCCAGATTGTACCCAACACCGAAGCCACAAAGCGACACGCCGGAACTTCGGACTCGAAGGATCATGAAACAGTTTAGGGCTTAGGGTTTAAGGGTTTAGGGTTTAGGGTTTAGGGTTAAGTCCGAGGGATCATGAAACGGTTTAGAGTTTAGGGTTTAGGGGTCTAGGGCTTGAAAGAACTCGGTAGGGTGTCAGAGGAGTTGATAGGACTCCAAAGGCTGTTTATAGGCAGTTATGAACTCATCAGAGTCTCTTTGGTATTTCATTGGAATCCGGTCCTACCTAAACCCTACACCCTAAACTCTAAACAAACTAACACCCTAAACCCTAAACCCTAAACCCTGAACCTAAACCCGAAACCCTAAACCCAGTTTAAGGGTTTAGGGTTCAGGGCTTATGGCTTATAGGGTTTAGGGTTTAAGGGTTTAGGGTTTAGGGTTTAGGGTTCAGGGTTTAGGGTTTAGGGCTTAGGGTTCTCTGATGAACTCTAATGTAGAACCCTATTGTAGAACCCTTAGAGGAACCCTATTATAAAACCCCTGAGAGGAACCCTCGTATAAAACCCCTTAAAAGGAGCCCTAGTATAGAACCTTGAGGACCCGAATATAGAAGCGGTCGAATCAAGCAGTACAGCTAAAGGATTAGAAAGATTGGGGGTTAGGTTCAGGGTTGTGCACCCTAACTAAACCCCAAACCCCTCAACACCCTAAACACCACATAAAAAATAACCCTAACCACCAAACCCCGAAACCCTAAACCCTAGACCCCTAAACCCTAAAACTTAAACCCCTAAACCCCTGAACCCTAAACCCTAGATCTAACCCTCGAAGAATCCGTTTTAGAACCCTTCCAGGAATTCCAATACCTCTCAATCAAGGAATAGAGGGGGTTTGTAGGGTTTCATAAAACTCTGGGTTTAGGGTTAGGGTTCAGGGTTTAGGGTTGACAAAGGTTCTGTAGGGATGTGAACGCGTTTATAGGCTCCCTAATCGAGGAACATACCTCAACTCATACTGGTAAGGCCTCCATTACGTAATGTATGTTTCTTGCTTAATGGGCATTGGTCTCTCTACGGCAAGGTGAAGGTTTAGGGTTTAGGGTTTAGGGTTTAGAGTAACTTCAGAGCTTTTCCTCTGCAGCAGTCTTCTTAGCTGTCCCACCCCGTCAGCACTCTGGGTCAAAGTGAAACTGTAAGAGCTTTCCGTCTGCAGCATGTCCCCCGACATCCAAAATCCCTTAATTAAGGAATCCACTTTGAATCATAATAACAAAAAATAAACAACAAAAAATAAAATAATGATAGTAACAATAAGAAAATAATAATAATAGTAAAAATAAAAATAATAATAAGAAGAAGAAGAAGAATAGTGATAATAGAAACAAAGAAAACATAATGGCAATAATCGTAATAGTAAGAATAACGGTAAGCGGAATAAACATAAAAATAATACAGAGAATGGTATGCGCTATAAGGCGTTCGAACGGGTTGAAGAAGGCACCCTTTGAGGATTGTAATGTAGGGACCTTCATACTCGGAAGAGGATTTTGGGCTCCTCTATAGTCCCGGTTATGTTTCAAAGTTTAGGGTTTAGGGTAATAATAAGGATCCCAAGGAAAAATGTTGAGAATGATTTAGGCTTCTATATTAACGTCTTTTGGGGCTGTAGGAGTAAACAGACAGGAACGTGCAAGGATCAGCACACACGACGGAAAGTGGGAAGGAACAGAACACACAGTGGCAAGAGTATACAAGTGGTCAGTGGTGATACTTACGCCTAAACCCTAAAACCTATAACCTGACAGATACGATCAACTTCATAAGCTTCCAAGTTCATTAAGCACCTACAATCCCTGAAGCAGCCTTTTCGTCCTGATCCCAACAAGAAAGCAGGCTTCTTCCTCAGTAGCTTCATGGGCTGGCAGGCGAATAGTCTATAAGAGCTTACGGCCTCTAATGCTTAGGGGGGAAAGGGGCCGCAGCTTCAATAGCTTCGGCAGGGTTCTGTGGATGGTCTGACCTTGCCGCTACACTTGGGTGCGCACACCTTGGTACTTCAGCTAAACCCTAAACCCTAAACCCTAATTTATGCTACCATGTCCTTGAATGACCGAACAATCTTCATACAGGGCCAGGTCTTTAGCCACAACCAGCGAATGAACCCTGAAACAAAAGGTTTCAGATGCCAGATCGAAATAACCAGACTCTCAGCCGCAAAGGCTGAACCGTCGGGGTAAAAAAGGGTGCGAGTCGTGTCTTGGGAGCCTTGCGCTTGCCAGAATCCTGCGGCTCTATTTGCTAAACTAGCAGGTTGCTTACTAACCATATAATAAACCCTAAACCCTAAACCCTAAACCCTAAACCCTAAACCCAGGGTAACATGTACTCAAGCAACCCAACATTTGCGGAACTGTGAAGGATCTTTTGGAGCTGCTACAAGCGTATTATAATAAGGACCCCAAAAGGGACCATAATTTTGACAACCACCCAAGTCTACAGCGGTTGAACTGCTTTTCTGTCTTAGCCCCGTGGCAGAGCGGCCAGGAAGAGCAGAAGCCCGCCCTGTCTTGCCGCTTTTGCTGTCTAATAAAGGGGCCTTAATAATTAGAATAGGGTTTTGGGGTCCCTTTTAAAAGGGATACTATAAGGACTACTATAAGAGTTTAGGGTGTAGGGGAGGGTCCTGGGGCCCATTATACTTTAATCATAATAAGGGCCCCCAATAGTATTGGTAATTATTTAGGCCCCTACATTAGCGTCAGGGGCTTCTGCTTATGGCCCACGGGGCTTACGTCCCAGACCCTATTGGCCCTAAACACATCAAAGCACATCATGCCCTGATCCCTAAACCCTAAACGTGTCTGGCCCTAATCCCTATAAGCCCTAAACACATCAAAGCACATCATGCCCCAAACCCTAAACCGTAAGCCCTACTGTAAACACATGAAAGCACATTCTGAGCTCCAAAACATCCGGGCCTGGGTTTTCATGGCTACGAGTTGAGGGTCTCACGGTATGGGAGGAACGGGGGGCTGGTGGTGGTCCGAGCGACAGGATGACCCCAGTTATTGGCCTAGTAGTAGTAGTAGTAGTAGTAGTAGTAGTAGTAGTACTGGTAGTAGTAGTGGTAGTAG